GAGCTGGTTGAAAAATTCTCCTTCCAACTAATTGCTGAAAAGGGGTAGTTGTTGACGATGTGCTCCATCAGACACGGGAAGTGTCTCTTCGAGATCCAGGGTATTGTGCTGTCTTCGGACAAGACAATCACGTCACACTGTGCCAAAATCGGGTTCATGGAGCCAATCCATGGCAAGAGAGCATTGAAACTAATTTGGAACATATTAACCAGGAAGAGGGGTATTCTCCCTGTTAATCTTTCACCTTCAATTTGCTTAATCTTGGTCTTTTGTACAGCTCTGATAATGTCTTCAATTCTTCTTGTTATCAACCACCGGGACTTCTTCTAGGGTAGTCAGGGGGGTGGATAAATGGGCTTATCCCTCTCTGAAGAGAGATTGATGGTAAGACGGAAGCAGCTTTGGAAAGACCTTAATGTGGCAAAGAAACGGAAAGAAGTAAAACGATAACGACTTAAGTTTGAGCCATTTCATGACTGGTGATAAGGCAAGGTCCCAAGTTTACTGGATGAGGCTGTCAAATGTCGACATTGCTGCCAAGTGGGGAAAAAGTGCTACACATTAGGCATCTGTTCTCGTTGACGACTAAAAAAAATCACAGTAACATTTGAATAGAATGGGAGGGTATGATAAATGTTTCAATTGCGGCAAGGGCTACGAAATGGCATTGGTGCGGTGTAACGTTTACCATAACATCGCCAAAGGATCGGTGAAGAACTGTCACACCTTGGAACGGCGAGAACTAGGCTCTCGACCTAGCGAAGGCTTTGAAGCGCACTCCTTTTTCCTCACCGTTGATTAGGCCGCCCTGGGGTGAGAAGCGTAATATCTTGCCCTCATCACCTACACTTATGCCTCTAAGAAGGCCCAGTAACAAGCCGAGTTGCTAAATATCATTCACAAGGCTACCGTCAAAGGCATACCGAGGCTGCTTTGTCTCTGGGGAATAAGCATTCCTGAATAAAGAATCTCTACACTACACACCAAGCTGGTGTAGTCTCGGGTTTGATGTGTTACCTGCTTCATGAGCGTTGAGCGGGTGGGGAGTGAACGGAATGGGGATAACCAATCCGCCCTTTGGCCGGTTAACAAACTCTCTCGCTGCAAAAGCACAAAGGGTCAGCCAATCGCAAGGTAATCAGCATACAAGCTAAAATTCGCGACACCCCATCTTCCTCTAATCTTACGAGGGTGAGTATGAACTTTGTGGACCTGGGCTTTGGGTGGCACTCACTCTTACTTCGTAGTTTACACCGCTTCTTTTCCCTATTGGTTGATGTAGTGGCAAAGCGACAACTCCGATGTACCAAATCGGACAGTGACTCACAGGACAGGTGTCAATGGGAACGTGTAGTTCAAAGGTATGGAGAAGAGAGGAACTTCCCGAGCGTAATGCAGCGCCTACCTACATAAGGATCCACCTCTTGATTTAAAAAGACAAATTGGGCGAGAAGTCAATTTCGGCTTGATAGGTGGATGGTCTTGAATCCTTCCCGTCTAGTTCGACCGACATTCAACGCGATTCATATCGAGCGAGTGCTGTAGGTCCATGCGCTATCATTCCCTCGGGTAAACAAGGTTGGTACCAAGTCAGTGCAACATAGGTAGGCCAAACATTGCCCGCCCTATTTTTGATTTCTTGATAAATGTGCGCCCAATGTGTTGACTGAAGTTCGCGGTTCAGGCATCGGATTGGATGCGTGCGTGGCGATTGCACCACATCCACCCTCTCTCTCCAGCTGTGATTTGACCTAGCAGCTCGTAAACGACCCCCGCAACTGCAAATTGTTTGATTACCACGATCTCTCTATGTCTTTTTTCCAGTTCACCCATAAATACCTCTTTTTTACGCCACGGTTTTGGGTGCGAAAACAAGTACTTTCTTAAAGGTACTGGATACTTGATCCAGATTGCTACCTTAGATTCAAAAATATTCGGCAAACTTACATGTGTGCTAGAACTCGTTTGAGAAGATATTTTAACAAATCCATAAAAGAGATAGAATGCTAAAAACTGCCTCATTCCCTTCTGAAGTTTAATTCCTGATGCTTGTCAATTTTTGGACACATTTATTATATTAATATTACTCCAGTTTACGTTCTAAAACTTCTTCCCCTGGGAGGTGACAGGTGCTGCCTCCTCGCTCACCCCCTCCTCCCCGTATTCGCCATTTTGACGTTTGAAAAATGAAATTGAAACAGAAAATCCAGTGTCGCAGTGTATAATCGCCATTGTGATGCTCTGGTTGTTTAACTCCCGCTTTTAGTTACGAAGGCCCTTGAGGCTCCGTCGTTGTACTTTCGTCCGTAGGTATGGCCTCCCGGGCCTTGCCCGTAGCTACCCTCTCCCCCATGACCTTCTGTACATCGATGATACATATTTTGTTTAGATGTTGTCTTATTTCCACTTCAGAGAAGTCTCGGGGCGCTACATTGGTAGCAGATCCCAAGGCACAACTAATCTGTTTCCCATTGCTAAATGCTAAACTTAAAAGCGAAGAATTAGGGGCACATGCTGCTGATAGGCAAATCCTTGATGATACCTAACGAAAAGGTTGACGGTGACGCCTGCCTTCGGCAACTTCTTAAGTGCCATGTTTGCAGGAAAGCTATTAACAACTGAAGTGACACGCCGTGAATTGAACCCATCCGGATGGACATGGCTGAGCAGCACTAAAGTGAGAACAAAGTGACAAGAATGAATAGACGCAAAATTTTATCCTCTTGGCGTTCCATTCGGTGCCAAGTCTGTCAACAGCTTATCACTCCTCCTGTTTACTAAATAAAAAAATTATTTCTATATCGTACCTCATACAAATCGACCTAGGAGGAGAGGAGCCTTGCAAACTGACGGAAAAAAATGCTTTCTGTTCAATTTTACTTAACCCTTGTTCTGAACCAAGCTTGACTGAGAGGTATTCTGCTTCCAGAAAATGTCCGCAGAGAAGGGCGCGTGACAGATTGAAACGATTTCGTCGGCAAGGTGCATCCCCTCCTCAAAGAACTGTACCTCCAAAACCAGTTTCTTTAGAAAAAGGTACCAAATAAACACCATGGCCTAGTACTCCAAGGTGCTCCGTAGGCCTAAAATTTCCAGAAAAGATTTCCAGTCATTGTCAAAGTCAGTTGCTTAATTGATAGGCTGACATCTGACAGGTTTACTTTTGTGGCAGGAAGGGCCGCACACAGGCAGGCGGCAAATTCACCTGGGAACGGTTGGCCTTTGATCCTGATGATCCAAAGACGGCATTTTTACTTCAAATAAACCACAACTTGGCGGCAGTAGCAAAGACAGCGACACTAATGAGTGACCAAAGGTGATCCTTCGGTACTTTTTTGACATCGCGGATGACTTCGCATGGAATTTTTAGCTAAAGTTACACATTTGAATGTCCTTTACTTTAATTCCTCCATTTCACTCGACGACTTTTTTTGCTACATTGAACAAAAAATTTGGCTGAGCTGTTGGTCGGGCTCTAACGTGAAATTGGGTCACCCATAGGCGCCGTCATCAAGGCGGGGGGTGGGGGTGGGTGTGATTAAATAAGCCATTGTCACACGCCCGTTGTCGTGGTCACGCTTGTCCATGGGTCAAAGCAGGCAACATGGGTGTGAGGTCATGTGATTCTGCGGCCAGGTCACGCATCTGGTGATCATGCGAACACGCATTAGTCGCCCCTGTTATTCCTGTCCATTCGGCCCACCACCCATTGCCTCGGGGTCGGGGACTCGGACTTCGCGCGATTTGAGACCTGCGTGACGAGAGAGGAATTGAAAGCCTCCCATCGTAATGTAGACTTATTTTTACTTGACAAAGAGGAGGCTTTGATAGGCGTGGCACATGTGCAAGGCTGTTTTGAGGTCTGAAATGCTATGCGTCACATATGTGCTTACACAAAAATAGGTTTAAATTACCCTGATTATTTATTTGATTTCGAGTGAATTTTGGATGTCAAAGTGATGCGCAATGTGATTCCATGGGTTTTCGTGAAATTTGACGCCAAATCCAGGCCCCTGTTCCATTGCTTGTGCCCACACCACAATGCAAGACGTCTGGTCATTGAATTAGTTACCTTGAACTAATTCACTGGTAATTTTATAAACGCCTTCACAACAGTGATCCTCCATCTTGGGTCAAAGTCCATATTTGATTTACCACCTAAGCTGGCAGCATAGGCAGTGGTAGAGGTGATGACTTATTCCATTTGCCTGCCTCGACGGAGGGGAGGGGTCGCCTCGTAGCAGGTATATGAGCCCTTGTGGTACTGTGCGGAGGCGTGGTGACTACCACGTCACTCAGCTACTTACTAAAACACTGGAAGAGGTGCATGCACAAGTGCCAATAGGCCGAGATTTTAGTTGACTCAACTCGTTGCGACCCGATGTCGATGTGCAAGCCATACTCTTCTACCGGATTCCAAGGACTCTACAATGTTTAGTGGATGGATTGACTGACATATTTGACATTTCGATTAGTCGCAACACTATCTAGTGTGTCTTTAGTGGAATTTATGGTGGATTATCCGATCCACCCACCTCTGCTTCCGAATGATATATTCGTCAGTAGGGCGGTCCTCAACCCACCCAATTCGCACACTGATTCATCCCCCATCAGCTTGTACTTAATTTATGCATAAATTCAGGCCCGGATGACAATAATTCCCTCATCTCGCCCCGTCATTCACTATTACAGATCTATCAATCCTCGAGTAGTTCACCTTTTCACAAAATCGTCTACCACTCACCCCAAGTTCGTTCTTAGATTTGCTGCCATGATATTCATTCATAGCAATGACAGAAATGAAACAGTCAGAAAGGGCGGCATTTCAAGCCGAAGGAGACTTAAATTTGACCCATCCATTTTGACAACGATTCCCTATACTTCGGCAACATTGACTCTGAGACTAGACAGTTTTCACCCAAGCAGAAAATTACATATGTAATGGCCCTAGTTACTCATAATTAGACTAAGGATCCACACTGACTGCTTAACCCAATGGTTCAGTGAATGAGGATGATGTTGGCAACGCTGATGACCTCATTAAGGTCAAAGAGCACTGACGCATCGACCTCAAAAAGAGGTTTGAGGTACGCGCCTGTGATGACTTTGTAACTTTCAAGCTGTAGCCAACATCCAACCCACACAAACAACGAGGTTGTACCGACTGCTCGCACGGTACGTCATAGCCTCCCTGAGTCAATCCTGAAGTTGGGGGGCGGGGAGCACAGCAGTAGGCAGGACGGCTTATATATGAACTGGAAGGCTATACGCATGGACGCGACGCCGAGGCACCAAGATGGTGAGCGAACCGTGCGACTTCACGCAGCTAAATGCAACAGCAAAACCAACCTGGGGTCCAGTAGTTTAGGTGGTACCCTCTGTACAAAAAACTTTCCATTTCTCGGGCTGAGTCGTTTTTTGTGCCTTTGGAAGGGAGAAAGTGGGGGAATGCTGTAGTTACTCAAGGTGTGAGTAATGCACCGTAAACAAAGGAGGAGGAAATACATCAATGTCATGGTTTTTAAGTCAGCAAACAAAAAGTGGATACGATGCATCATTCATACAACGGTTGTGACACCCGGTTAGTGCGGATGATTGCTAAAGTTGACACACTGCTTTTTAACTCCATTCTCATTACCGAAGCTCTAGTAGTACTACACCGATAAAAAAGGAATTTCAAGTCTAGGGTACCCGATACTACTTAAGTGAGTAGCATCAGGTGATCTCAGAAATGCACAATTAATTGACAAAAATTGTGGATATTACCAAAGTACTTCATAGCTATTGTCGCTACCACGACAACCCTGACACTGACCACCCTTGGTTCAAACTCCGTGCACCACAGCGCTTGAACGGGATAGAGGAGATAGCCAGCCCGCACGATCCCAACACGATCGTGACGACTCGCAGAAATACTTTCACTTATTTTTCTCCCCCAAAACTGTTTAAGGGTTACGGAGTGCATAATGAGGAGTAATTAAAAGGAAGAAAAAGGAGAAACTACATTAATTCCCCTGGTAACCTTGCAATTTAAGCAATCATTAATTTAGCTCTACTTAAGAAAGGGAGTCTCGCAGGTAGTGCTTTCATTAAAAAAGCAAAAAACAACCAATCTATTTAATTCCGATTTTTCCGCGCCCTGAGGGGCATTCCTGTTGAAACCCGACTAGCCTCAGGAGCACCGGTTTACCCACTGCTGCTCCTCGTTATTTACTGTGAGTGGGGCTTTCGACTCGCAAAGACAATCACAAAAACGCGTTTTGGGAAGAGGTGAAACCAGTCACAGCGAAGACTGGCTTGAGCAACTCAACAATCGAGCTATTAAAATGCACGAGTTGTAGGTGACGTCAGTGTCTAGACGGATTCAAGGGAGGTTAGAGTCGGAAGTGCAGTCAGTAATGACTTAGATGACACCCGACGTTCCTATGCTGTCTCGATTTCATGAAAGGCTACGCACGTCTCTGATGCAAGCCAAACTTTCAACGGCGCAGATCCATATCAGACTAAGTAGACCAATAAGTCCCTTCATCGACTCCATGCAGAAATGGAACCTATTTCCTCCCCCTTACTCCACAGCTCCACTCGCAAACAAAAACCAGGAGTGTAGAGCTCAAAATTTCACTCATGGAGGTTTCGATCACATCCCTTAAATGGAACACCAAAACCGCAGCAAGGAACAGTAAACGACTAGTACGTCCTACCAGTGGATCGCCTCCCACCACCTCACCAAATCGACGCTTGACTGTGTCCGGGCGTGACAATGTCATACATACACGCATGCCTGCCACGGCGGCAGTACAAACTCAGAGGTGAATTCCGAGAACCCTCCAAATGAAGGCCTTGCCGATGGCGGAAAAAGCAAATGCTACCAGCACCGATCGGTAGGAGATGAAACCTACGTAGTTGATACACCTCCCCTCTGACTTTTCTTAGTATGTCTCGCATCCTAGTAGGTAAAATTTGCGTGTCGACCGGAATGCCTTCCTCAGTCTTAACCAGGCGACCACCACCTAACCTTCAGCATTGACCCCCACCTCTACAGTTATGTCTACATCCCTACGATCGATAAACACCTACCAATTTTTCCCCACATCCCCGCACTGAATCGCGTCAAAAAGCGCCAAATTGAGTCCAAATTTATGGAATCGTATTCCTAAAGTGGCGTTTCACATTATGAGTGGAACACGGACTGGCCGAGAGGCGTAGTTATGACGTGTACTCCTCACAAATGCATGATTTCGCACTACACAAAACCACAGACATCAAAACGCCTCTCTCACGTAGCCTTTCTACGGGCTTTTGCCACGGTAAACAACGACGAGACCATTAACTGATAAGATTGCTGCTGGAATTTTAATGATCACTGCTATTAAGCGTTTGCAACATGAGAATTCAGTAAAAATGACCCACCACAGGTATGACATTGCTAGCAAACGTGGAGTACTTGCAGAACCGATATGGGTGCCTTTGATCCTGCCTCCGACTGTGAGCGCTGGCAAGGGTAAGTGGCAAGTTCAATGTGTGTCGCAGCGTAGAAAAGGCATCACCATTGCACACCCGCAGTGCGATAAAACAGAAGTCCAGCTCAAAACGGTCGTCACCTGTCTACTGAAGCTCGAACGACACAAGTCTAAGCTATTCCGTCCGGGAATCAAACGAAGCGGATCTCAGGCTAGAAACATCCTGCGTACACTTCCAGCTTTAAACTCATCTATTGTACCTGCAGCATCATGTGGTGCAAGCAACAACCAAACAAGCTGCATCTTTGATGAAAGACCGATTGAAAAACGATACAGACTGAGTTTTGAAAACATCAACACAAGTAATCCGTGCTCGCCTGCAAGTTTCGGCGAAGCCGTATTCGTGACGTGAGAAGTGGTGTTAATCAGATGTCACGTCATGCGGAAGCCACATCACTCACAAACCCATATGAAACAATCAGCATAACTTGCGAGATGGGAGGGGTGATCAACGTAATATCCGGCAATAGGTCACATTGACAATTTTTAAGTAGATAACATACAGACGGCAAAATCGTTGAAACAGCGATATGCCAAGTGGGTTGCAGGAAGCCAAACAGCCTGGGACAACGAAGTACACCTTTAACTCCGAATAGCAGCATATGAAAAAGTGCAATCAAGCTCAAACAATCCGGCACCTAGTTGAGATAGTAAGTGCCCCTCCAGCGCAGCTGTAGGACAAATTTTCCTTACACCTTGGTAAAAATCGCATTGGACCTACTATCGCAAGAATAGCGAATCCAAAAATATTAGTACAAATTACAGGAGTGACAAAACACGGTGACCTAACAGTGATAAAAATAATCACTAACCGACCCCATTGGGTTCTTCAAAAATCTCAATCGTAACATATATTTACAAAAGGAGATCAAAAGCAGCGTTGAACCGATAATCCTTAAACGTACACTTTAATATCTGATCATATCCAGGTTGTCTAATTACAGAAGATCCATAATATTGTCCGGCATTTCTAGTATCTGAGTGTGGTAGTAGTTCATCAGCTGGTCCAGCAACGGCACGTCCGCCTCAGTAACAAAATTAATAGCTACACCTTTACGCCCAAAACGGCCACTACGACCAATTCTAGAAGCGTGTAAACAACCCAAAAGCTAACCCACCTATGAATGTACACCTCACGACGATTTGGAAGATCGTAATTCAAAACAAGAGACACTTGCTGCACATCGATACCTCGGGCCAAAATATCCGTACTCAGCAACACCTTTGAGCTGCCACTACGAAAATCGCTCATAATGGCATCACGCTGCTCTTGTGTCAAGTCACTATGCTAAATCGAGTAGCGTTAGAGAAGTAATTGAAGTGAGTCTTACAATACACGACACTTTGAACTTTCGACGTACAAGTTCCTCCTTGAGGTTTATTGCTTTCTTGACGGTGTTCACGAAGATCACAACCTGACCAAGATCCAAAACGGTGTACAAATCCAACAAAGTCGGCAACTTATAATCCTCCAGCTTCACTTGAATATAGAATTGACGAATGCCATCCAAAGTAAGCTCCTCCTTCTTGACGAGAATTTTCACTGGGTCTTTGATCATTTTTTTCGTGATTTCAAAGATCTCCGGCGGCATAGTAGCCGAGAGAAGAATTACTTGCGCCGTATCTGGCAGACAACTAAAAATGTTTTGTATTTGCGTCTCGAAACCGCGAGAGAGCATCTCGTCAGCCTCGTCTAGGACAAATATTTTAATGTAGTCCGTCGATAGAACCTGGCGTTCCATCATATCGAAAACACGACCGGGTGTGCCGACCACGACATGCTGCCCCTCAGGAAGAACTTGAAGATCTTGTTGCAGACGCGTGCCACCAATGCAAGCATAGCACTTCACATTTAATAAGTGGCCGATCTTTTGAATCACCTAAAGTACAGATAAGATAAAACAACAGCCAAGTTACTGATTGAATTTGTTTTGCCAATTCTCTTGTAGGTGCGAGAACCAGAGCTTGACACTTTGTCAAGTTAGTGTCCAGTTTTTGTAAAATACTGATAGTAAACGTTGCGGTTTTGCCTGTACCCGATTGGGCTTGGGCAATGACGTCTCTGCCCTGTAGACAGGGCAAAATCGCACGCTGCTGGATAGCAGAAGGACGCTCGAAGCCGTACTGATAAATACCACGCAAAACTTCGTCACGCAAGCCCAATTGGTCAAAACTCTCCACAGTTTCGTGGTAGTTAGTTTCGATCTCGCCATCTTCCGGTGCAGGTTCACTAAAAACAAAAAGAAGGCATCAACCGAACCCTACCCCATACTGCATGCAGTTATAACGTAATGAAAAGTGAGGATTTAAACAAAGCCCACCAGTCTATAGGTTTATTAAAACATCTTCTTTGATTAAACAAAGAGCATTAAAACATTTAGCTGGATCCAGCGCTTTTATATTTATTTTAAATCGCTTATTATGGTGTCAACTAATTTGCAAGTTCGTGTTTTTTTCCGAACATGAGGCACTTGTCTCTAGCACATAAGTGACCATTCCGGGAGCTCCTCAATTCCCTCTACATTAGTCAAAATGCCTTTATTAAAAAGGCGTTAATGTAACTGAAACAATGTAACCAATGGCTTACAAAGAAGGTTAGAGCACGCTTGTTTGAAAATGCATTGTAGGCAACACATGTTTAGAACACGATAACCACGTAACCGAGCGGATGCCATCGACAGGTACAATGTCTGATCTCATTTTCATTATAGTTGCGAACAAACTTTTGTCCGATTTTCCAAATAAATGAAGCCGTTTCCACCTAGTCTTCTCTTTCAGAGGGTAGGAAGCCAGAATTTTGTCGGGTGGACGGTGTTCCATAGCCTAGACAGACTTGAGGGAAGATTTGGGTGGCCAGGGCGTGAGGGGGAACTAGTTCGTTTCAGTTAACATCGTAAAGTGTATTTTTTGGTAAATTGTGGTGAGGTGTACAGAAGCTAGACCTTTAAGCGTTTGCATGGTTTCTGACCTCTGCGTGGAAAGCATCTCCCTATAAATGCCTCAAGATTTGCACCTATGTTTTGTATATCTCACAGTTTAAGACACGTTTAAGCACACTTAAATGCCAAGTATGTGTGCACTGTTTCACACTAAAAGAATAACTTAGCTTTGTAGTTTTGTAGAACCAAATCTTGCGTATATATGAGCTTTTAATCGTGAAGTAAAATGCCGTGCTAGTGTTTATTCAAGATGCTTAACATCTAATAAGGTAACTTTTAAAGTAATTTAGCTGAATTTGTGGCAAATTTTTGGGTACAAAAATTTGCTTTTGGGCATGGTCGTACCCAGTAACAGCCATGAAGCCTAAATGCTTATTTCTCAAGGACACTTTGGTCCGTGTGTAACCCATTTCCATACTCCCACGCTTTAATTTTCATATGGGTGCATTCGACAACTGATGTATAAATTTACTATGCCTCTTGTGACCCGTCGCCTTCATGGTAATGTATTACAATCCATTGTTATTTATAAGGCTCAATGCCTGACGCCATGGTGAAAGATGTACCTGAATCTTTGCAAAGATACAGAAGCAAATATGTTACGGCATCCAGTCTGTTGGAACAAATTAATGCTGTGCCTCGTGCTCGTCTTTTTCCATCACAGCTCAGACTCATTTTGAAATATCAATCCTTTCTCTCCCTGAATTTTCTCGAGTCTTGTAAAACTGTAGTTTCGGAGGCAGATACAGATTGCAAAGAATTGAGTTCAATTCTTGGTCGAATTTATTTTAACAACGATTCATTCGCTGCCTACACGGATGCTTGTCTCCAAACAGCGGAGGTTTGTAGACATTGCTTGGTCTTTACTCAACAATTGACTTTTTTCCCAAATCCTTTTTTGCTCATTTCAGAAATTTCAAATGCTTAGGTCCCTGATTAATCGCCGAAAGGAATCTCGTATTGAGGAGAATCTGGAAAAGGGCAATGTAATCCTCTCTGACTCCCTCTACGAACTTATCTGTCGATATTTTGCATCTCGAGTGAGTTGTGCCGTTTCCCTTGAATAAAGTGCCTATAGTCCTAATGCCGGAACACTGCTTTTTTTCATGTATCCACAGGATGATTGGCTAGCTTTAGAAAGGTCATTAACATGGCTTCGAGAGGATGGAATTCCACCGACATTCAATATCTGCATCGCCTCTCTCGAATGTCTCGGCGGACTACTTCATCGGTCCATCCACGGGAAGTCCCTTCCAAAGTCACTGAATCACAAACTTACTACAGAGCACCGCCACATTCACTCTTACGTCGAAGAAAAGTCCCTCGAAATTATCGCTTTAGCCGAAAAATATGTAAGGTAGTGAAGTTGATTTATTCCTAAGTAGGGTATCAATGTCTATGAGGATCTTTTGAGGTATCCACGTCAAACGCAATCGCTTGAAAAGATCCTCACGGCTCTCTTCTTTGTGACTCCAGATAGGGAGCCCAGTCTATCTTTCCTTGCTCCCCAGTCTACCACACTTCGGACTTACAAAACTCGGGAGACTACAAAGCGAGTTTCAACTGTGTTAGATAAAACCCCGGTAAGTTCCTAGTCCCTTCTATTTATCCATTTTTATTCCACAACGGGATAACATTCCAAATTTTTTGCTGTTTCGAGTGATAAAGTATTGTTGTTAAAAGTCTTCGTTTTTCTTCCTGATTGGAACATCAAAATCTAGTTTCGTGACTGAAGTATATGTATCTCTCTGATTTCCCCCCAACTAATACTTAAATAAATACCCTTGTTACCTGGTTACCTGGCTTGTCGGTTAAATCAATCCTGAAATCCGAGTTTACGCTTACTTTGCTGTTTTAATGCATGAACAAATTATTCCTCTCTATTTTTCAAAAAGTCGCCCTATTTCTTATCACTGTGGCAAGAGCCGAAAATGTGCTGCTCTTGTTACTGCCCAAAACAGTATTGTTTGAAGGAAATTTCTTTGTTGTTTTAAGTGTTTAATTGGTGTCCGAAACATTGCGTAAATGTGACTTAAATTTGACGTAGTGCTTGCGCTATCTCTTTCAGTTGTCACCAGTGAATATCTTTGCCGATGTCTTTCCAAGTTCCCAAGCTATGGTTGAAGCGTTCCAGGAGCAAATGCACTTGGAAATTATGGGACAGGTTCCAGTTTCTCCTGTGTTACCGTTCTTTGAAGAAATGCTTAAGGAGGCACCGGAAATCGCCAAAACTGCTATTCACTCCTCACACCAACTTCGACATCGCTTCCGTCCTGCTGAACTCGTAAGTTGCGAAGAAATACAGCTACATCGGATTTGCAGTTAGCACCTTTCCATACTGCTGGTAAATGACAGGCATATTTGATGTTTTGTTGTACAACCTCCATTGCTGCTTATTCTTAGTCACTCAAACGAGAATGAATATCCATTTTATATCAAAAACGTTCACCTCCATGTAAGACCTCGACGGCGAAAGTCTTTCCAGTAACGACCATATTTTTCAACATCCTCATCCACATTTGGGGAAGAATGTACACTTTGCGTGGTTTTATTATTGTAACAACTGCCCTACGAAGATGTTAGAGATTTATTCTGCGTTGCTTGGTGTGGTTGTAGAACTTTTAGCATCAGCTTACCACAACCCCTTTTATGATAATCAAACACTGTATTTTTTTGTAGCAAATGCTACTTAGATAGCTGGTATTACACTTTTTCAGCGGCAATCCTTGGAAGCTGAACAGAACACGCATTGGCGACGTCAACTCACTGAAGCCTTTGAGGCGACTTTACAGCGCCTTAAAGTTGCCCATGCGCGTAAGCTCGATTTGTTAAAGGTGATGCAACTTGATAGGCTGGGATGTCTCGATGCAGCTGGTTTTTTTTCATCTTCCAGGCGGGCAAATCACGGCGTATCCGTTTCTGAAAATCCTACCCAAAAAGTCCTATGTGGACCTGATGATCCAGGTAGCGTTTAACCTAAATTATTTGTATCCACTGGGATCTTTGGGTCTCCTCCACTTTAAAATGATTCTTCTTAATTCTGACGTTTGTCCGTTGAGACGTTTGGATCACTAAGACCAACCATATTTTTCAATGAGGGATTCTGTCGTTCAATTGAAAACTCTTGCACATAAGGAAACAACTTCGCTACACATGAGACTGATTAGAAAAATTTTGTCGTCTAGTATCTGAGAGATCGTAGCGAACTCTGTTTGAGGGAACTCTATTTCCATACTGAGAAGATAAGTTTGTGCTTTGGACACTTTCTCCCTACGTCACCCAGTGTAGGAAAAACTACACACAAGTTTTTTCTGCCCTCGTCATCCCAGAATGAGGACTCAAACGGGCGACTACGTGGCACACTTTACTTGCGACCGTTTTTTGTGATAAAATCCGCCTACTTGTTTATCATTTTGCATTCCTTCACTCCTTAGGCGGAAGTGGTCGTCGATATTTACTTGCTACTAATGCGCATATAAGTAGGCAAGTTGTTTTATTTCCTAGGCAATCGATACAATCGTAACAGATACTGCACTGCAGCACGTCAGTAGAAGTCTTTTTCTGCTTCGACTGGGTGAACGCGTTGAAGCTGCATGCGTAGTGTGGCGCAAACAAAATGCTGGGATTCTTGAGGAGGCGAGTGGCGATTACTCATAACACCTACTTCCGAATACTCAAGGGTGTGGTTTTATTTGAAACGTTTGATCTCTTTTAGATGGCCAAAGCGTACAAAACCTATGCAGACATGTTTACGTCTTCAACGCGTAATGTTGAGCATTTTCGTGAGATGTGGTTTCGTGCTTTGCAGGTTAACGCCGAAAGTGGCGCCAGTTTGGTATGCTACTTAAATAAACATGAGTAGATGGGGAGAAGTTCGCCAACATGAACTATTTTGCGCTTGTCCAAGTTTAAAACTATTATTCTCATATTTTTCTAAGGCTGTTACATACTTCTTTTTATCTTCCGTGTGCCAATTCCTCCAACAGCACAAAGTAAATTCTTCTGAAACCTACTTAAGCAGGAATTTTTATTTTCGGCCTCCCTTCAGGATCAAGAATGGCCTAAGTGGAACAGTCACATCCTCCTGACGGTAGGCCATGAACTCTATCGCATTCTTTACGACAATCTGACTTTCAACATTAACGCATTACGTTCTCGAGACGCCTCAAAGGTAGGGCGACAGGAGGCTAACGTTCTTTTCGAGGTTTCCTCCGACAATCCTGGCGAGGCACGCTACGAAATTCGGGTTTGTCATAATTCTTCTCTTCTACATGCACGCCTCCAAGTCGAGATCTACTTTTACAGTATCATTTTTAAAGGGCAATCAAACGTTTTGTTATGATTATGACCTTCGTTTCGGCATTCCAGGTGCACCCAACCCTGCTGAAGTGGTACAGCGCAAGTGATCGTTCCTCCCCTCTGATGTTTAATCCCACTGAACTGCCAATGCTTTGCCCGCCCCTGCCCTGGATTGATACCAAACACGCAGGCTACTTGCTCTCATCGAGTAAGCAAAAGTCGCTTATTAGTTACAGAAAATGAGCCTATACTTTGAGCTCATCGGAGAGCGTTACGGCCGTGTGAATATAAAGTAGCTTTATTATCAAATTGTAAAGGAGCTGTATGGTGAGTAGTGCTGGAGCGGTATGAGTAGAGCCCCTCGCCACCGTCGTGGGGATAAAATCACTGGGAATGCCCACCTCTTATTGGCGTTTCTTCTATTTCCCTGAGGTGCCGCAACGCGTTTCATCCGTAAGCCCAATTACTTCCCTGGTGGTGATGCATCTGCCAACGATGATCTGGATTTTGATATTTCAACTATCCCCTCAGTATTTGATTCCTTGAATGCCCTTGCCGCGTGTCCATGGAAGGTCAATAAGCCGGTAGGTAGTTGAAAAATTGGTCACTTTCTTCAAACCTTTAATAAAAACTAATTCGCTCATCCCTTTTTCATCTTTCTCAGATCCTAGACGCAATGCTCCAAGTAGCACGAGGAGGTGGCGACAAAAGTCTGAGCATACCCGAGACCAAATCCCTTTTTCCCATCCCTCCGAGAAAGTTTGACAGGTATTTCCCGCTTTGGTCAGACAAGTAGCCCCATTTTTTCCACCTTCAGCACTCTCACGCGCGAAGAGCGTATAGCCGCCTACCGCCAGGCACACAATATTCGCAAAGTCCACGACGAGACTCGATCCCTTTGGGCCACTGAAATGTATCGTCTCTCCATAGCCAACCACGTGAGTTTGAAAAAAGTGGCGGCGGAGGTGGGAGGTTTTAGAGGCGTTTTACCTGCACGATTGTCTTCCTTGCCTCTAGTATCGCGATAAGGTGTTCTGGTTTCCACATAGTATGGATTTTCGTGGTCGTGTATACCCCTGTCCACCACACTTCCATCACATGGGTGAGTTGTCGATTACTACTTTGCTGACGGACGCGAGTCACCTCGTCTGTGCAATGTATTTCAACGTTTTCGGGGGTTCGTATCATTTACGAGACCCGGTTTTGTAGGCACCTAAGCAGTCTTTCGTAGTCAGGAGTTTGCTCTTCATTTTTTCAGTGCTTATTAGCTAAAATATCGGGATTGTTTAGTTGCATTCATGGCTAAAAGGCACGCTTGGAAATTTCTTTGATTGATTGGTGTTTGTAACAGATGCGCTGATTTTTTTGTAATGCGGATAGTCCTTACTCAGGGTAAAGTGACGCGATTTTAAATTCAGCCGGAGGTTGCCCATACAGGAACGGACGTAACTGAGGCATCCTTATTTAGTTAGTGAAAATTTCAAAAATCATCATCATATTTAGCCAAGCATAGCTGTCGCTGCTCATTTTGCCTTAGCCGGTGGCCCATTTAAGAACCACTTTTATCCCAAGTTCGGCGGGTTGTGATCTGTGCAGCATCTTACCCAAAGCGCGAATCCGTTGTGTCTTTTTTGAAGGCAAATCTGTATTATCCTGGATAAAACCCTTGTAATTCTACAGGCTTTCTCAGTTGTGATTCGAAACGAAGTTCATTCTTTCAATACTGTCTTAAAAGTGACGCCGATTAGTCAAAAATGCCTCGGGGATTTACGAACCGTTTCGCCTGGTTGATTGAGTGATCAATTGGTGCTTTGAGACGCAAACTGATAGTCTTCAACAAAAGCCAATAGCATCTCGTATTCGCTTCGAAAACGGTTGAGAATCTTGTGAATCTGGTGTAAGAATGGTCAGTAACCGTTGGTTATTTATTCAACACAAGTCGCAAGCGTCTATTTTTATCGTTGGACGACTTTACCGAAAAATTGTTGTCATTCTGGTGTGGAAGTATGCCTCTGAAACCCATTCTACTGAAAACCATTCTTTATCCATTCTATTTTTCTTTGCCAAATTGTGGCTTTACATTCTATCCATGGCGCAAATCCAGTGTCACTCCTCCGGGAATGTTAGCGGTATGTAGGGTTGAGAAGTTTACTCTAGTCGAGATTATTTACTGACTGGAAATATCTTGGCATATCCGTTCTTCCATCTCTCAGCAATGATGTATGGCTTCCTCTTGTTAGAGAGACTGACACCTTTTTTCAAGTGAACGAAAAAGTCAATCTGACGAGCTGATAGGTCTCCTATCGTAGCATTAGGGGTGTCGATCTTTTTGGAAATCTTCCAAAGCAGATCAAGGCTGTCACTGAACTTTCATCTCACAGGCCAACAAAGAGATGACAAATAAAAAATTCTCATTTCTAATTCCTCATATTAGCTTGGTCGGCGATTCCTCTGCAACAAGTGTTTTATTTCACAAAAACGGAGCCTAATGATCTACTTTTTCCCCATCTTTTGAGCAGGAAAAACCTCCCTATGCCTCATCTGTCGTTCGGCTGAACTCACGTCTCTCACCTTTGTATTTTGCTTTGGTCGGATAATAAATCCGCCGCCAGTGCTGAAGGAACGTGGTGAGGCGGGACGGCACGGGGCGGGGCGGACGGGAGGACAGATGGTCGGAAAGTGTAAGGGACCGGGGCCGGGGGGGTTGGGGGCGTGATAGTCCAGCAGCGATTAGACGCACCGTCACGCAAGCCCTTGGCGCCTTTTGGCATTATTTTGATGGTATTAATTATTTGGGAATTTTGTGTTTGCAAAGTATAAAGTACTACCTACTTCAGTCCCTTTGCATCGCTGTTCCGCTGTGACATGTTTTCTTGTGTTAAAGTCGCTCATTGTTGCAATCCCTGAGGGGTAGAGATACCAGCAGTGTCCGGTTGGAGATCCATCTTCACATAATCATGGCAAAAGTTTTTTTTGCCAGAAATGCCACCTTTTGACCTTCGTTAGTGTTCGTCATAGTGTTCTTAACAGGAGACATCAACGAGTCGTTATTTGTAGTCCTCCCATCAAAGCTATAAAGTGTAGCTGTCCAAGGTACTCAAACCAGAAGAACCAGAGGATACAATTGCCGTGAAGACTTTCAGACATTCACTCTTGGACCGTGCAAGCTATTTGAGAAGGAGCACAGTAGCCCTGAAATACGTAAGACCCCTCTTGAGTACCTCATTACCCGGAGTTGCTCAGGATGAGGCTAAACGTATTTCTTTGCATCGATATCAAGACTTTATGGTAAGGATTTGAGGCACCTTTACCACGAAGGAAGAGAATAATGAGAATGTCTAGTTTTTCCAATTGAATGAAGCGTTGGTGCCATATTGTTACGACCTGCTATGTACGCGTGTGGGCACAAACACTGAATAACCAAGAGATCGAAACCTTGGCATGGAGGTCTTCGATGCCGCCAAGGTGGGTTCAGTAGGAGCACAGTGTTTGCAGACGGGCTTGGCGACTGAACTGATCATCAAAGGTGACAGTCACCATTCTCACGAACTTATGTGGTCTTGAATGGCCTTGACCTTACAGCGACGCCGTCAATTGGTTAATGAGGAGTACTCAACGAGAGTTCAAATCGAGAAATATCCTAAAATATTCGAAAACAGCCCGGAAGAAAAAGGATTAACCTTCTAAGTAGTAAATTCCAGAACATTAAAACGAGAAAGTTTTTCTGAGGTTGCAAGTATCCTCAGCACGTGTTTCGTTAACTTTTCGTGGAGAGAAATTAATTCTCACTTCCATTCCTTCTCTTCCTCCACAGGCAGCGACGTAGCACGGGGTCTCATAGTCTTTGCTAAGGGACTCCCGCTGGGGGAGAGAGGTCTTCGATGGCTAAAGATTCATCTGGCTAATCTCACCGGCAATGTCAAACGGTAGGTACAAAATGCCTGCGTCCGCTTAAATCGGAGGCCATAACTTTTGAGTTTGTCTAGGAAAGGAAACCCTATCCATTTGCATACCTTTTCCAGCGTTTAACTAAGACACAGAACTCGTCAGCACAGAAGGATTGGCTAATACGGCTAATCTATCCTAGGCTAGCCTGACTGTCTTAGTACCTATCATGCAACCACCTTGGGAAGTTAGAAATGTTGTCTTCAAAGCTTACAACTGGAAAGATTAGCCTCCTTGGGGAGGTCATGCGTGGATCAGGTGCTTCAGGATAAGGCGCCTCACACACGGAGTGTTCACAGAAATGACTGCTGTGGACCGGAGACAATCATGACCTGGAGTATCAACGACAAGCACGTGAGTGCATATAAAGTGCTGACACTATTCAGATAGCTCAATGACCGAACGTCCATTCACCGTAGGAGTCGTGTACGAAGTCTTCTGTCGATGTCTGAAGGCTTTGTATCTTTCAAAAGAACCTCATCACCGCATATTTTTGCCGTTGTCCGGTTCGATATGTCTGGATTGGGTTTAACCACTACTTATGTGCCGGTTATTAGCCATAGAATAGATTTGCCACCTATTACCACTTGTGCTGCTGTCGCAATAACCTCTCTTGTTTGAACAAGTAAAACAGAAAGTCCCAGTTTGACTTGAACCATCGTCATGCGCCGGTAGCAGTGTACTAACAGCTTACCGATTTTCAGGTAGAAAGCGTCACGACTGCAGGAGGCGGTTTGGAGGAAAGTAAACAACTAAGGTCAGAGATTGATTGCACAGAGCGCCCACGGTCAGGACTTCATGCCTAACTAGCGGCGCTGTTTTTTTTTAACGGGGTCTCTGCCACTTCCTTCTTATTTCCAATTCTCATATCATTATGTCAAGAACTTTCAAAAATGTTTGGCGTGCCTAATGAAACTGTCAGTTTGCACCTACGCTAGGTGGAAGTAAGTCTTGAAAGCTGGCCAAATGGGTTCACTCACACGCATTAACCGATAGGAGGGTGAGATTGCAAGAGTACCAAGCTGGTCTCCCTACTCTTTCACCTACTTTATAAAAGCCTACCTTTTTGAGTTGTTTTTCCCCTGGTTTATGATGCGACATGGTTTTTGAGTTGAAAATTTAGACGAAGGAACCTACCATTGGTTGTACTCGATAGTCCCGTTCACAACCCGGCCTACTACTTCTGAGGGAGACACCATGCCATCCCCAAAAGACTGCTTTGTGTATATTTGACTGCGGACTATTGTTCACTTGTTGAAAGGCGAATAGCAATTATGAATGGGACTTATCTACTTGCTGCAAGACAAGTACAAGGACAGTGAATAAGTTGGAAGAAGTTCTTGATTTTCGAAGGCAGTGCAAGACCTCGTGGAGTCACAAAAAACTGATTTGTGAGAGGATCTTGTACTGTACTTTGTTATGGGGAGTAGGCAATACCTCAGCTCCTCCTCCGCACTCCCCTGACGTTTCTCCAATCTCTAAGCGATGATCATCGCCTTTTCTTGGCATCAGAAGATTACTTACTAGATAGAAGCCCTGGAAGCAAAACAAATACGTTTGGAGCTGTGCTTGGTTATCTGCTTAGAGCGCCAAAAATTTCGTTCAAAGCAGAACTCACAGATGGTTAGTCTCGACGGGAAAGGATTAGATGCTTGGCTAACAGTGATTACTCCAACACGTGTCCAGAAGTCCCCTTTTTCTACCCCAAAAACCCCATGAACTTGTTCGGCATTGCCTTAAAGAATTAAAGATATCGTCATGTCGCTGAACCACTTGAATTTCACTGCCTTCCCTTCATCTCTCTGACCAGGCGACAACACCTTCACCCGATGACTCACCCCGGGACCATCTCAACTCCTCCCACTTCAAACTCGGCCTAGTTACTGGCGCACTGGTGCATCATTTTCAGCTCCTCTCTTGTGTTACCATCTTCTGTGGGAATATTTATTACTCCTGCTCCCATAGTCCCGATAGAGGGACCGAGGGAACAACTTATCGCGGTACAAACTTATCTATCGCCTGATGCTAGGCCTGATGTGGACACCGCTTTCGGCCAAGGAAAGAGTGTAAAGAAGAGTTTTCGAATTCACTGTAGTCAGTAGGAAAAGAGGTGGTGCTTTCAGTACTTCAGACATGGCGTTGATTCGCAAAGAAGCGGTGAATGATAGGCAAAGCTGAATGAAGTGGGAGGAGGCAGTATCTACCATTGAAGTAATTCCAGCAAACCATACCCGAAATCGCACAAACTTTCTTAGTCACTTTATGGTTGTCACGGTCTTAAGTGTTGGGGATAAATACTTGTGCTCCTCGATTCGGATCTTAGATACCCGTCTGGCAGACACTAATGCATTTAAGGTTGTAACGAACTAAAGCGTAAGCGACCTTATCACTTCTTTATCTCGCATCAGACGCTCCAGTCAATGGGAGACACTTTCGAGCTGTCCAATTCACTAAGCCATGGAAACACACACACATTGTAGGACATAATGTCAAAGATGCCCTATGAGTTTGACAATTATCTCCTCTCTAGACCTCAAGACAAATCACAAGGCCAACTGGCCTGCCAGACAGAAGTAGGCGCATGGCGTCCTTTGGATACGGTCAATTAATGCTCCTCACTTTTACTTTTTCCCTTTAAAAGATGTCTTTCTTATGACTAAATCTAGCACAGCCACATTCATCCGTAAGTTATCTTCACGATGCCATATTTCATAGCCTTGCGAACCATTAAACGTTGATTGTTTCAATGTCAAATCTGCCTGTTTTTAATTTTCTCACCTTTTTTACCGTTGCAGTTCCTCCAATGACGAACGAGAGGCCTATACCGACAGCATTTTGGACGAAATTGTCGATTCTGCAGATAGACCCTTCGATGTGAGTTCACCACCTCCTTCGTCTTTAAAGTCCTTGACATCAGAAGGCATAAGCGAGTTTTTGTTGGTAATCCTCTCAACAGCGCTCCAAGCATAGACTCAAATTAGTAGCAGAGCTAGAGGTTGATATGCTCATCCACCACCGGATCGTGTGGGCCGTAGAAGGAGCCGCCATTCTGAAATGCTAAAGGCCACCTCTGAGCAGCTCCTGAAAATCCGGAGTTACAAGAAAAAGTGAACAATTCAATCTCCTAATTGCTGTAGTGGGCAGCTAAAAGCGAAACCTCGGGACGTGCCTCCTTCTCGGAAGCTCCCCTCGCAAGGGTTGAAAACAAGACGATAAGATCTAATGGGAGATTAAGCTATTTGTTTTACTCTTGCATAGGTGATATATCGTCTTGGGGGTGAGCGTAGGGATTGGAATTTGGAGATTTGTTTCCGTTTGTTGAAAGAAAAGAGGCAAAATTGTATTCTTTTTGACAATTATTTTTGCACAAAAATTGCATGCCTTTCATCCAGAATAACAGCTAACAAGGCAGTCTTATTGCTGCACGACCTTGAACCTTCAAAAAGAGTGCTTTTTGGATTCAAAAAAATGTCATTGTCCAGTATTCCACAAGCATTTGACTAATTCCCCTTCGAGTCTTATAAATCGCTTGTACAATTCTGACAAAATTGCAAACCATTCAATTGTTCACAAATGCCTTCATTGCACCCTCTTTCCTCTGACAAGATCACAAATAAGCATTCCCCCCTTCAAATTATGAATGATTGAGGCAGATTTTCCACTTATCAAAGTCAAAAACACGAGAAATACGTCTCTTTTTAGCCTTTTTGTATCTTCTGGTAAACTAGACGCGAAGGGGATTTTATTGGGCGAAGTTGTCCTTCCTTGGGTCATTTTTCTCGACTTAAATGAAGAATTCTGATGCACGGCGATGTAAAGAAAACCTGTGGAGGGAGAGGGAGTGAGCAGTAGACAAAACGCCAAGTGGCCTTTTACTTTATTCGCAGAGAATTGCGTCCAGTGGTTTTTAACTCCTGAATTCACCTTACTCTACCTGTCGGGTTAATGGACACTTTTGAGTTCAACTTAAACAGTACTTCTGAAGGCATAGAATGAAAACAAGGAACGTGGACGGAAATTTCATCCCTTTTTTTCCTTATTTATCCGTTCTTTTGAGTCTGCGTTCAAACCCATTCACCCCGGTTACATACAGCTGTTTCTTTTACTCTGGTCCCGGTGTTGTTTGAGTGCTATCTCATTTCGGTCCCCCTCCCTTTTGGAATAGGCTCATTTTCAAGACTGTAAGAGTCTTTCCAAATGTTCTTACATGCTTTCTCTTTTCCAACACACTTTTTAGGGGCGCGGCTGGTGGCGTGAGCAGGAGGAGCCGTGGCAAACACTTGCATGTTGCCGAGAGTTGACAGCCGCGCTCCGTCATCCTACCTCGCCTTCCACCTACGTCAATTACTTTCCTGTCCATCAGGACGGCTCGTGCAACGGCCTTCAACACTACGCCGCCATGGGTCGCGACGAACGCGGCGCCGCGTCAGTCAGTCTGGAGGACTGTGAACGTCCTCGTGATGTCTACTCTGATGTCACCGAAGTGGTACATATTACCTAGATAGGCTATATCAGAAGCATTACGTTCACAGACAGGGCGATTTACCTGCGTAGCAACAGGATCCGCTATCACTGTTTCCTCTTCCTTTTCTACTTAGCAGCAATTTCGGTAGCACCGTACCAGCTACGGGTTGTTTCTTCTTCTTGCTGCAAGCAGGCCTTTACTTAAACTGGTCCTTTCAGTAGCACCAATGTTTGTATTTTAACCTCATTTTCTCTCCAATTAGTGTTTATCAATTGACATCTATTGAAACGCCATTATAAGTAGTATGTGTATGCCCGCTGATCCAATTTGTTAATCAATCACAGGTAGAGGCACGGCGTCGTGCAGACGCCGCGGAAGGCAACGAGGTAGCGATCGCACTGGAAGGCGCGGTACAGCGGCGCGTAATAAAGCAGTCGGTCATGACAACGGTCTATGGGGTTACGTTGTACGGCGCAATGGCACAGATCCGTCGGCAGCTGCGCGAACTCCCAACCTTCCAGACACCCGCTGGTGCCGACGCCGATCGGCGCCTCGGACCAGCCTCTGCCTACCTGGCACGACTCACGCTATCTAGCATCGGGGCTATCTTCTCTTCTTCTACTGCAACCCAGGCCTGGTTTGCGAAGGTATCTTTATTGCTTACCTTTTAAATTTTTCCATCTGGGCTTCATTTCCCGATGTTTGTAGTCTTCACCCGTTCCAAATCTACTGCTCGTTTTTCAGCGAGTTGGTGATTCACTGCGTGCGTTGTTTCCATCTTTAACTTTTGTATACTTTTAATGCGGTCGAAGATCTTCTGTTCAGTCTGTCTATTTTTCGACCTCATCCCATTCGAGAGGAGCTCTTTCTAGAACTGCCATTTTTACAACTGGCTAATTTAGGAAAGTGCAATTTTTGCCTAGTAGATAAATCAGTCCTTTAAATTCCAGGTTGCAATAGGTTTGAAGAGGTTCTCTTTTTAATTTTCGTCCAATCTATCACCCGATTGTTGCCCGATTGCGCATGTGATTGTTCGTACGTACGCATTCAAATGTGTTGGTCCCTACATTCGGCACCTTTCATCGGGTCCTTTACTATTTAACCTTTATTTTGAAGCCTCGTATCACGAAGTGTTGGTTAGATCTGGTGGACGTGCCTCAAATCTGTCCGCCCTATGGACAAATTTGGACTTGGTTCCATAGCTGTGGGAGCTTTTCGCAGCGTTCACCGCACCGCATTTGGCGAAAGTGTGGCAGCAGAACGTACCACTTACAAAAGGCTAAAGTAAACGGGTCGGTTCTGGTGATGAAACATTTGAGGATAGTCGCAGGATAGTCCTCAAACATTGGTAGTGATGGCGGATTATATGTTGGTGTTGAAAGTATCCTTAGGCTTGGACGTGTGTGATGAAATTGTCTAGCCCATACGCCAGTTAGGAAGAGAGCCGTATTGGAGGCTAAAAGGATACGGGTGTCACATATGTTTGCCGACTGTCTTTCCTTTAGAGATGGATTTCGTGGCGTAATGTTAGGCAAATCCATCCATTACTGGCTATTTCCCACAAAAAACTGCTCCCTGCTCCATACTTTATCCTCTTTTCACTGTGCTTCCTTTGCGTATATGGAATTGTTCACCAGATTTTTATGGGCTGCGCGGCTAATTGAGGTGACGATCTATTCAGCCGATAAGATGCAACTCGATTGTGTGTGAGAGCAACTATTCCAGCGGCCATTGAGTCAGCTGAAAGGAAGTACTTTTCTCACAAGCCGACGCATGACCTCATGCCGCCGCAAAGCTAACTCATGATAATATCTTCCACCGCACTTTAGGATTAAAGCGGAAGGAAGGGAAGTACTGCCTCATCTCATCCTCGTCCATCGTATTCTCCTCTCTTAATGGCAATCTTCCCAAGCTCTAGTGATTTTTATCACCTTTTCCTGGGATTAAAAAATCATTTAGGAGATAGGCCTTAAGCTAATAAAACATGGGATGGAATTGATGCATCGAGCTGGGAATAGTTGCTCGCTTCTAGAGTCAAAGAGGCCTTATACAGTGTGACCCTCGTAGTCAGCTCATGTCTCGTCGAAAAGGTATTACAGCTCAGCGTGAAATTGGACCTTGGGCATTGTTCAAGTGACTTCAGCTGCCTTATGGTTTGTTAAGGATTTTGCTTCCATCCCATCTGCAATCTATCGACTTTATCCATTTTCAGAAGGCGCTTCTTCAAGTCATCATGCCAACTAAATGATTCAAACTACGAGTCGGTTCACGACCGTCTAGCAGCTCAGTCAATTTTTTAGCCTCTGAAAGCCTGTCTTTAGCGTTCCCTATTTCCTGCGATTTGGAGTGAAGCTCCTTTTTAATTTGTCACCTAAGTTCCTGTCTCATCTCCAAAAATGGGCGTGACTACTACTTTTGATTAGTTTGCAGCAGTTTCTTCGTGGTTTGGTTGGATTCTCGATTATAGCTAAAACGTGTCTATCGGCTCATTTACGTCATCCCGTCCAATGGAGATAATACTTCTCTTTTGATTAGGAAAGGTGGTGTAATTTTGAAGCAAGAAGTGGGATTTTGGGAAAGAAAGAAAAGAAAGGGGATGATTTGCGATAGCAGCGTCTTGGTTTGTTAAGACTTGGTTTTACCGCTTCTTCTTGATTACAGCAGTTTACCTTGGCGAAATACCTGCCCCTATTTTGACTAGTTTCGTACGGTATTCGTTTGGTCGATTAAAAGCTTTTTGACTAATGTGAAAACCTTTCTCTTTTAGCTTTCTGTCTTCACTTTTGTTACCACTTTTGCGTCTTCGGTTATTGAGTGAATCCACCTGTGAAGCCTTCAATACCCCACATTCGAGAGAGATTTCTATTAAATTTTAGCCCATATTTTGTAGGGAACCAAGGTGTATAGTGTCCCGAGTCTTCCCCGATGTCGAAAGAAGCCAATACTAAGGCAGAATATGTATTACCAACGTGCAGAATAGCTAGGGATGGGCTACTGGCATGGCCCAGAAGTCATCGGAGATACCACGGTAGTGCCTTAAGCGCGCCCCACAAAAACAAATTGGCGAGTTAAACAAACAAAGCATTGCATAGTCACTCTCGCCTTTTCAGCGTCACCCTCGACGCTCCTCTTGTTTAGCATAGTTGGTTCCCTTAAGAAAAGCACACACGAACCAACTGCGCCGGTTACCGAAGTTGCATGCGGTTGGCGATTCCTGTGAATGTGGAGTTTTGTCCTTTTTGGGAACTGTACTAGAGGAAGGGGTAATGTGCTGGCCACCTTGTATGTTCATCCCTAGTCGTAGAAACACTACCCTAAAAGCATTTGCTTAATAAAGTGCAGTGTCTAAAATAGTTTTACGTCTATTTTTCCTTACCACTATGTTCTTCAGTGTTGCCCAGTCATACGTATGTACCTAGGTTTTATCCAGCTAGTAGGCAGGTGGAAGAGGTATCGCGAGTTCACTTGATTCACGCCTTTATATGGGTCCCGTAAATAGCTCCGTGACGAATTTTTTTGGATGCTTTACGGTTAGCGTTGGCCATCCATCTGTTAGTAGCATTTCCGCAGAACACGGGACTGCGGTAGTTGCCGGAGATAGACGTCAGTTTCAACCCTTCTGTCAGGGGTGGTCACACATTTTCACATCCGCAGCATATGCCATTCTTCCGTTCAATTGGGGTTTAGCACTCACCAGTAGAAATTAGGGTAGTTTTCCACTGGGACCGGAGTCGCTTTCCACTGTCACCGATGTAGTGTTCCGAGTCTTTCAGAAGGACTTCGGGGCTAATAGTCTGACCCAAGGGCCATGCCGCCCAGCAGAAATACAAAGGCGGGGCCTTCAGTGCCCGCGAAATCAACACTAAGAGTTAAATTAACAGCTACAGATTTGGTGCAGTTTTCCCCTTTCATAGTAGAGATTTTGTCTGGTCTCTCACCTAACGTTTTTACTACCTTGTAATATGTCTATTTCCAAAGATGAACTTTTTCTCCTCAAAAATATTTGGTCTTTCTGTCTTCCAAGAATGTGATTTGATGAGAAATCTTGGTCTCATATCCTCCTATTTATCCCTGAAAGACTCATAATCCAACGTCCGATTCTTTTTTATCAGGATTTGGCTTCGCGTGGAGGCATTTCCAATTGCCCTTTTTTGGTTGTGTGAATTTCGCAAATCCTCTGTCCTCTTTTGATAGACTCTCGTCCTTCCCTTCGACCCCACCCCTTCCCACGTCATTATTCCTACTCCCTTCCTACTCTTCTTCGTCCTCCGCTTTCGCCTCAAAATTTCACGAAAATTCACAGGCATGCGCATTTTAAACATAGCGTCAAAAGTAGGTCGATGTGGGCAAAATTACCAGTGGATTCCCAAAGTTGGAAAAAACCCTAACAACATCTCTTTCGGTGTTTGACTCATCATTTTTCCACCCTCTTAGACGGTAAATTTCCTTTAAACTTTGTCATCTCATTCTGATGTCTTTTTGTTTCATCTGACGGCATCCAAACAAGAAAAGATGCCGACTAGAAGTGCTTACCCTGCAATTTCACCCGATTGACAGTGTGGTCTTAGGATGTTTATTTGTTCATTAGCTGCATTACCTCATATTCCCATGTTTCAGCCTTCTTAAGAGTTGTTTATGTGTAAAAACAAATCTCTACCTCCTACACTTCTGAAGCAAGTGGTGCCCAGCTTGAAAAGTGCCAAATTTTACTGTTACAAGACTTCCCTTTCTCGCTTTAGAGGGGGAAGGATTTCTTCCATGTACTGGAGAGGGGGATAGACGATATCGTTCATGTTCTGTCTTTTCATGGCGGCTAAATTGTCTGCTTACCTTACTGTACAGAGGTGGTGAGAATGTTAGCCTCGTGAACGCCACGGAAGATGAGACTGTACACTCTTCAACTGGTCCCACCGGAGGATCGTCGTTCTTGCTTGTTCTTTTAGGTGCAAATGTTCCGTCCAAACACTGCTGGTGGGCTTCTTGCAAATGTTAAATCAAACATGAGGTGAAGTATATCCACAATTTTTGTTTTTCTGTAGTGTTAAGCCGGAACAATGTTATGTGTACACGGAGGCTTGTCTTCATTCCTTTGGTATAACCTTCTAATCCCTTTCCGACAAGAGGCAGGGGGGTTTGAGGCTCCAATTTTTACGCAATTTTCCGTTTACGAGAGCCAAGAATAATGCAATTCTGGAAACCTCCATTTTTCTACCTCACATCTATTTCCCAGGCACCTATCTTGAAAGGTTAAAAGGAATTGCGATATCATTAGGGGAATGAATACGGCGGATGTGAGGTGATACCACCATGTGTAGTCTTGTTATGGGTCATTTTTGCGGCCGCATGAGGACTGGTTCATTAGTTCTGGCTGTCTCTCGAGAAAGCGATCTCCTTGCGCACCCTTCAGTTGCACCGAGTAGACGGATACCTCAATTCCTGCAAAATAATCTTTTTTCAATTTTTGCCATTGAAACGAAACGCCAAGCATCGCTGTTTACAACTGTTGTCGTCGTCTTCGTTGTCTACATTGCTCCGCAATATTTTCAAATCAACTCTAATTGGGATGGGTGATGGTGGTGTTGGCGACGGCGGTGAAGGTGGAGGTGGAAGGGGGAGGCGGAGCGGGAGGTCGTAATAGTTAATTGTGCCACGGCACTTTCCCAATTTAACCTTCACCTCCGCCTCCTCGTCTCCTTTTGAGATTGTCTTTCATGAATTAAATTATCCCATTTTTCCCGTTCATCTGTTGGGGATGGGTGGGTAGTTGTTTTGCCTCGAGCACACTAAAGAATGGCGGTGATTTTGTTGCATTTTTCTTCCAAGAATTCCATTTTGAGTGTACAAAGCGACGATTTCGCTAATCGCATTATGCTTCCCAAAAATTAGGGGGTTAAAAGGTCATATAAGCATAGTTTATCCTTTAATTACGTGGTCAAAAGTCCATTATCAAGTGATTCTGGAGGGATTTAACAATGACTTGCCTATCCTGATG